TTATCTGTGAGATGAAGACCCCCCCTCTCCCCCACCTCCACCACTTACCTGATAACAGCTCAGAAGACCAGAGGGAGCAGTGAAGGCACACAGCGCATGATAGACTGCCAATCAGAAGCCAGCTGTGATAGGATCCCTCCCACATCTGAAGTTGTAAGGCCCCTCTGGGGAGGGCAGTGTGGTACAGTGGTACAACGACGTAGTGGAACTGCGCGCTGGGGTTTGGCAGATCAGATGAGGGTCCTAGCTCTGTTTCTCACACCGTTGGCTCTGAACATGTCACTTCAGTCCGCATGTCTGTAGCCAGTACTTCTAGGGAGGGCCGTCTCCTTGCCAGCATTAGCCACACTGCAGGTAAGCAGTGAGTACAATGCCTTCTCTGTGAGCAGTGCCGGTTGTGTCTACACACCTGACCTTGTAGTGAAGTGAAGAGCATGTTGTGCCCCTCACAGGGCATGGCCTGAGAGGGGAGCCCTGGGTGATTTTTGCCCAGGTCTTTTGTAGACTTTCAGCTGTTGATATTTTTCCTGGCTCAAAGCAAGTCCCCTTGTTTCCTGTTTTTTTGTTTGTTTTTGTTTTAAAACAGGCTTCCAAGGCCTGCAGAAGCGTAAGGAACCATATTCTCAGGATGGTGGGTTGGCCGTCCTTGGTTAATACATGGCACTGATGAAGCCCAAACTTTAGTTTTTGAGTTGTAGGTGGATGAGGTCAAGTTGGGGCCCTGGTGGTTCAGTGGCTAAGCGGCCATGGGTTCAAACCCTCCACTTGGCACGAGGAAGCTGTGCCATCTGCTTCTGCCTGGGTGGCATCCTCGGAACCCCTGTGAGGCAGTCCCTCTGCCCTGTCCTCTGCTGCCTGTCCTGTTTTGCCCTGTCCTGTAGAGTCGCTCTAAGTGGAAATTGCCTTGATAGCCATGTGCTTGGGCTTGGCACACCTGCTTGGCTGGAGGAGACTTTCCCACTTGGCCTCATGGGAAGGAGCCCCATGGGAAGGAGCCCAGCTGGCGCTGGTGGGGGCTAGTTGTTGGGTTGCTAAGTACAGCGGTTGGTGGTTCTTGCTCACTGGCTGCTCCTAGGGAGGAAGGCGAGGCTCTCTGCATCCATGAAGATTTGCAGGCCAGGAAACCCTGTACAGGGCCGCTGTGAGTTGGAATCGACTCACTGGCAACTGTTAGGTCGCCTAATTTAGGGCTGAAGGAGCCCTCGTGGTGGTGGGGCTGCGCGTTGGGCTGCGATCCGCAGGGTCCGAAGTTTCAAACCACCAGCCGCTCTGCCAGAGAAAGACCGGGTCTTCCACTGTAAACACAATCTCGGAAACCCACAGGGCGGTTGCTGTGAGTCTGCATTGACTCGAGGGCAGTGAGTTTGGTTTGGAATTGAGGGCAGAGATGAGGCTGTTCGAGAACAAGAGCCCATCAGTGATTCAGCAGAGCCAGTCTTGGCCGGAGCCCAGTGTGTGGCTGGCTCTGTGGGCGAGGAGGGTTGGTTCATCTTCACTGAGGTAAAGAATCATGTTCATTGAAGAACATAAGCAACGAGGCTGAGCTTATTCACAAATCACTTGCTTCCAGATTTTCCTTGCTGGAATCCTCAAAAGCTACAATGGAAAGGAGGACAGATTTAATGTCAAACTTACTTGCACAGAGCACGTGTTATTTTTCACACTGTCTATGGGGTCTTACTTGCCCTTCCCCATTATTCGTAGCAGCTAGGGAGAAAGCTGAGGTTTTCCACTCCTGTGAAGAGTTACAGTCTTAAAATTCACTGGGGCATTTCTACCCTGTCCTATAGGATCACTAGGAGTTGGCATCCACTTGGCAGTTTGGTGAGATTTTTAGCAATGCATAATCCCTTCTCTGCCTTATATAAGATAACCTGTGTTCTTAAACCCGATTTAAGTTTAGTGTATATATGGGCATGATATATCCATTTGAACCGACAAGTATGGGTTGGAGGGAGAGTCATCCTGTTGCCTTGTCTTCCTTTCCTCTAAAATAACATCTGTAGTGCAAGAGTCCCCTGGTGGTATAGTGGTTACTCATTGGGCTGCCAACCACAAGGCCGGCAGTTCTAAACCACCATCCGCTCCGGCGGAGAAAAGAGGAGTTTTCTGCTCACATCAAGAGTTACAGATTCGAAAACCCTCAAGGGAAGTTGTGAGTCAGAATCTACCTGACACGGCTGTGCGTTCACAGAGATGCTTAGTAATTCACTGTCCCCTCCACCCAGTTCCATAATGCATTGTGTATTCTTAAACCGATTTGCAGTAAGAATTGGAACCCAGGAGCGCAGGTTGGAGGGAAGATCATTCCTTTGCCTTGTCTTGTCCCTGATACCAGAGTTCCCAGGCCCCTACCGTGCTCTGCTCGCTTAGGAGCGTGGTGAGTGCTTGCTGGGCCTGGGTTGGAGCCCTGCCTAGCACATGCTATCTTCAGCATCAAAGCCCTGGGCGGGGCACTTCCAGTGCCTGGAAAGCACTGGGTGTTTTGAGAGCCACGTTTATCACCCTTCCCAGGCAGGCTCAAAACTGCGAGCTGAAATGCCTGGGGTAGGGGTGGGTGATGGGTTAGGGTAGTGTGGATGCTCACAGGGAGCACCCAGTGTCGGCAGACCTCAGAGATGCTGTGGGTTCAGTTCCAGTGCACACCTTCAAGCCAGTCACCCAAGGTTGGGGTTTCCCTCATGCAGGTGAATACAGCTTAAAATGGGAGTTGAAAAGCAGACTAGTACCCTCACAGGCACTGCCGTGCCATAGGGGCAGGTGGGAGGTGTGGGAGACCTAGAGAAAAGTGGGTTCGTTTCCTGGAATCACCCTGATCAAACCGTCTGGAAGGGTGGGTGGGGGTGGTGTGTGTGTGTGTGTGTGTCTCTGGGTGTGTGTGTCTGGGTGGTTTCTGTTTTACCTGGTACCTAAAGAGGGCGATTTTAAAAGGACCCCCCCTGCTGTTTCCCCAGAAGTAGAAGCCTTGTCCATCTCCCCAGGCTCCTCCTCTGAGAACATTCCGGGTCTGGATTGGTGGATGGTGTGTCTGGGTTAACTTTGGGTGGGAAGAGTAAGGCAGGTGCCCTGCGCTGCTCTCTCCTCTCGAGTGCTTGTTGGCACAGCCTGTGCTTGTTGGGCTGCTAATAGCAAGGTCAGCAGTTCAACCCCCAGCTGCTCCTCCGGAGAGAGGAAGCTTTCCACTCCTGTGAAGAGTTGCTCTTGGAAACCCACAGAAGCAGGCAGGTCTGCCTTGGTTGGATCGACTCCGAGGCAGCCGTTTGCTCTGCTCGCTCGCTGGCTCAGGGACTAGTGATGCCTTTGAGAGTGCTTGGGGGAGCTTGGGGACTATTTGTGGTATCACTTTGAACGCACAGGGGCTTAAAAAAGTTTGTGGGAAAGTTCCATTTCTCCTTGAATTCCATTTTCCCCAGGAACTTTTTGATTCTCCCTGGTACTGTACACAATGGCAGTGTGAATTCTGACGGGAAGTGGATGCAGTGGTATTTAGAAGAAAGGGTGGCTCTGCCCTGCCAGATGAAGATTGATAGCTAAGAAGGAGCTTTAGCGAGCACTCGCTTTTTGATTTATTAGACTGTATTTGCAGTGTAGTTGCCCTTTTAGTTTGGCCTGGAATTTAGAATAAAATTAAAATAATTATATATAAACAGCATAAATTAGCTTCATACTTATAAATGGCAGGGATACATAGTCTATAGCCTATGCCACATAATCACATCGGGTCTATAACAGTATATACATGTATAATCAAACTAAACAAACCAGACTCACTGCCATCGAGTTGATTCCATCTCTTCGAGACCCTGTAAGACTGGGTCGAGCTGCCCCTGTGGGTTTTGGAGACTGTAAATCTTTAGGCCCATCATCTTTGTCCTGAACAGCAGCTGGTGGTCTCAAACTTCTGATCTTCTGCTTAGCAGCCTACTACATTACCAGGGTTCCTTATGTATGAAATCATCATAGTAAACCCCATGTTGACTCATAGTGACCCTAAAGGACACACAGGGTAGAACTGCCCCTGTGATTTTCCTAGACTTTATAGAAGCTGAAAGCCCCATCTTCCTCTGGGGAGTGGCTGGTGGTCTCGAACTGCTGACCTTGCCGTTAGCAGCCCAACGCATAACCACTACACCACCAGACCTTGCGTATGTAATGGGATAGCATTTAGATTATAACATACTGTATTGAACAGCCTATTATCCATAAGGAATCCTAGTGCCAGTGATTAAGGGATTGGCTGCTAACCATGAGGTTGGTGGTTTGAATCTACCAGCCACTCCACAGGGGAGAGTTCTGCTCCCACACACAGGGTCAAGCCAACTTGATGGCACGCAACAGCATGTTTTGTATAAATTACATAAGCTGTATTTAGGTTATATATACCAATTGAAATAGCTAAATATTGTAAGTATTAATAAGGCCCATTTATCTCCTTGAGAGCAAGTGCTGTATTTTTATTTTATTGCATCGGGTTGGAGGAGATTGGGGATTACCGATTTTGGTGCTGCTGATAGATAATTGGATGTCCTCCCAGGCCTCCAAGGTCTGCAGTTTGAGACCGCCAGCCACATCTCGGGAGAAAAATGACTTTCCACTCCCGTGATGAATTCCAGACAGTGTTTCTGGGAAGGAGCTGCTGGTGACTGTCGGATGCTGCTGTGCGAGCTGCCGTCGGGCCAGTGTGGACGCATGGACGCAGCGAGCCTGTGAACAGCCGAACGAACGGAGCACTGCCGCCATGCCATTCCCATCACGTGTCCAACACGCTGGGAGCCGTTCTGTGGACTCCTACGAAGCAAGCTTCAAAGGGACAAGGACGCCTCTGTACTCACCTGAGTGCCCTCTCCTGTGTTCTCGCCCACACACTCTGCCGCGAGCTGAGGGGAAATATGCGTGTTCCCCCATATTAGACGGTTAAGCATTCCTAAGCAGTGGAAGTGATGAGCTATGTGCTGGCTGGTGCAGACTAGTGACTGGACGCTTACAGCAGAGGCTCCCAAATGGATGTGGCCCAGCAGCAGCTTCCTGGGGAAAAGACGGGACATTGTACCCCCGTAAGCGTCCCTGTCTCGGAGACCCACAGGGCAGCTCCCCCCTGTCTTCAGGGGGGCTGTGAGCTGGAACAGACTCAAGGGCAGGGAGGGGGTTTGCTGTTACCCTCCCACAATTGGCTTGAAAGTGTTTTTCTCCTTCAGGCCTCCGGCTGCCCCTGTGCGCCGCCCCTGCCCATCTGCTCTCCCTGTAGCGCTTGGAGAGCCGCTCACGTCCTTGCCCTGCTCAGCGCTCTTCTGTAGGGTTCATTTATGTAGTCCTAGGGGCTCTTGCCTCAAACCCACCAGCTGCTCTGCGGGAGAAAGGCAGGGCAGTTGGCTTCTGGGAGGAGCAGAGGCCTGGTTCCTGACTTGTGGATCTGACTCGGGGAGCACTTAACAGTACACCAGAGGAAGTGCAGGCCGACTTTGAGGGGTGCGTCGCAATTTTGACTTGCTCCTAGCTTTTTAGGGAGCCCTGGTGTAGTGGTTGCACGCTGGGCTATCATCCACAAAGTCGGCAGTTCAGAACCAGCGGCCTCTCCAAGGGAGACAGACGGGGCTTTCTGGAACAGCCTCCGAAACTCTCAGGGGAAATGCTACCCTGTCCCCTACCGCCGCTGTTGTCTGAATCTCCTGCTGGCAGTGAGTTTGAGGTTAGCTTTGTGCCTAGTGGGTTCCGTGTCATTTCTCTCGGCCACCGTAGTGTACCCTGGCATGGTGACGAAGTTACTTGGGTGCTATCGACAGGTTTCTATTTTTTCCTGCTCCTGGTCATTGATTTCCTTCTGATGTTGCTCTTTCAGCTTTCGGAGAACGTGATTGATCGAATGAAGGAATCCTCAGGCGGCGGCTCCAAGTCTCCGCGCCACCCTGATGGTTATGGTGCCTCAGGTAAGTCACAGGCTCAGGCTTGGGGTGGGGGTGGGGGGCGCTAGCAGGAAATGTTCCGCCGTAAAAGCCCCCTCGTTTGTCACATTCTGCTTGGGATGTTGGGGTTTTCCTAGGGTTTCCTATTTGAACTCACTGCCGGGCTGCTGGTAAAATGCTCTGCACTGGAAAAGAAAGAGGACCCTCCCGGAGATGGACGGACACAATGGTTGCAACAATGGGCACAAATGGGCAGGACCAGTTGGCACCACCCCCACCGCACATAATAACAATGCTTGCCAGTGGTCTCTTGAGAATTGCTTTTCTGGTTCTTGAATCCTCCAGCGGGCTGCGGGGGCGCATGCATCCTATCTGCCTGTGTGCAGGGGATTGCTTATAGGCATGTTGTACCTGCAGGAGCAAGTATTGACTACAAAAACCCCTTTGAACTTAGAAAATATTGATCGACGACTTCCGAATTGTGAAATATCTCCAGTGATTTTATTTTCTAATTGATTTCCTCTAAACCAAGACAAGATTTTTTCCCCCCCTTATTGACAAAAATCTGGGGCTAAATGAAACTTCCAGAGAAAAGGCCAGTTTCATCTGTAGATACTGCTGGTTAAGAGCTAAGAGAGCAAGCACCCTTCCCTTTCCCTGTCCCATCCATCCATCCACCCATCCATCCATCCATCCATCCATCCATCCATCCATCCATCCCTTCACCAAATATCGATTGAGCATCTGCTCTGCCAAGCACGGAGCTTATTCTCACTCGTGAAAGAGCACGGGGAAAATAATTTGTAGGATTAATCTGGGACTAATAAAGCTTCTTGTCAATTTATTAGAAGGCAGTATCGGGTGGGAAAGCTGGCCACAGTCCCTGAGAAACATTGCAAACAACGAGACTCTGCCCAGTGCCCTTCTCTGGGGGAGCCGTGACCTCTTACTAATGGCTTAGCAGTCATCATGAGTTGAGTAGAGAGCAGCTTTGTTCCATTATATCTTCTGGTTTCGTGGAGAGTCCAGAACGGTTCGTGGCTAGTAGACAGTAGATGGGAAGGGCAGCCCTTCATTCGGCTGTACACAGGCTCGCTGTCAACAGGCATCAGTCCTGGCCCGATGTCACCAAGCACTGCAAGAACAGTCACCGGTACCTCCTTCTCAGAAACACTTTTTAGGCATCTGCCCCCTCTCCCTCCTTTTTTTCCTTGCTTCAAATCCAGTCTGCCTTGCTGATGTTCCTCAGGAAGTGATCTCATCCATTTGCATGGCGTCTCACTAATTAGCTATGGGCCTCTGACTCCATCAAGTTGAACCTCCAGCCTTGACCTCATCCTGAAACTCCAGATTCTGATAGACAATGGCCTCCATGAACTCCACGTAGAGATCTCAGCCCTATCATGCCCAAAACATTGGGGGGGGGGGATCCCCACACCTGCTTGTTCCTACTTATTTTTCCCAGGAACTGCCTCGACTAGGCAAACCCCACACCTGGTCTCCATCCTTGTTTTCTCCTCCCCTCACCGCTTCCACAAGTGGCTTTGTCAAGTCCATCGCTAAAAGGTGCCACATTGGTTCCTTTTGGGTCCATCTCTGCTGCCACAGCTCCAGTCCAGGTCTTCGCTACCGCAGAAGGCTCTTAACGGACTATCTGCGCCCACTCCTGCACCCTCAAGTCCTTTCATATCACATCTCAGTGGTGGCTCTCCATGGCATGTCCGATGGAATGCCATCTGAACTGCTTCCTTTGGTGACCAAGGCTCCACTTGATGGGTCCCTCTCCACCTTTGCAGCTCCATGTCCTAATGCTCTGCCTTCCACCATTCTGCTACCTGGTCCCTGGAGGATGAGCTCCTGGGACTTGCTCTGCTTATTCACAGCTGAATCTCCGCCGCCGCTGAGGCCAGTGCTCGGGTCCCAGTGTCGAGCAGCTTACCATTAGACCCCATTACCCATTTTCAAAGTAGCTAACCTTGAGCATTGGAATATAATGTATAAATGTAACTCAAGTAACAATTATGAAATGTCTGTTTTGTGCCGGTCATTAGATTAGGTATTTTGGAGGAGGGCACACGTATCAGGGGGAAAAATACCTTTCACAGCATTCAGAATTTTCTGGTAGACAAAACTCCGGAGTGTAACTTTCCTCCTATAATGCACCCATGAAAATAACACGTGGATACAAGATGCATAGCATACATAGAAAACTTAAGGGGGAGAGGAGGGCTTTCAGTTTGCTCACCCCTAAACCCTCCCACATATAAAGTGCATGTCGTGTGCATAAAAATGCTACAAGACTGTAAGAGGCAGAAACAGGGTATAAGAAACCCAGAGTAATTTGAAGTGAGATACATCATTTGGCTTTGATGGGTAGATTTTTAAAAATGAAAATGAGGGTTTGTTCCAACATGGGATTGGTTTGGTGTGGGTGTCTGCCCCCTGTATTAAGCAATAGGATGATAATGCGGGTCATGCGACAGTGACTGTCGGCTCTTACACGGCGTGTATTTTGCCCTGTGTCCTCTGCCACATTTGTTGTGGGTTGTCTGCCATTTAATCCTGATGGCCCTCAGAAGAAGACACGTTTTTGTAACCTGTTGTACATGGCAGGAGACGGAGGCTGCAAGGGACACCTGCTTCACCTGCTTCAGGAGCTGCCTGCCGGGGTGGCTGCCTCGAGCCTGTGCGCGAAGAGATGCTGGCTCTTCCAGCGTTGTCTCTTGTTGCCCCTCTCTTACTAGTGAGGTGGGAGGAGAGAAGCCAGGAGCCTCTCGGACTGGGTTCTTACACATGCTCCTGAGGGAGAGGTGGTGGGACAGGGGCTCTCCGGGCAGCATTCCCGGCGTGGGCTGTGGTCAGCACTCAGCTGCGGTTCAAACTCACCAGCCGCACCGTGGGAGAAAGGTGAGGCTGCAGGCTTAGTAAAGCTGACAGACCTGAAACTCGGGGGCTCGCCCTGCTCTGTCCTGCACGTTTGCTCTGCGTCAGAATTGACCTGAGGGCAGTGTTTTGTTCCAAGCTGCGGACACCTTCCTTCCCGTTTTCAGGTTTGACACGACAGTCGGAGTCTCTGGACCAGGCCCAGCCAAGGGCACTGCTAGCGCCTCGGGTACTGCTTTGTGGGATGCCATCAGGCCAGGACCAGGCTCTCCAGCGCAGAAGCCACTAGCCATGTGGCTATTTAAAGTAAAATCAATGAAGTTCCAATACGATAGAAAATTCAGTCCCTTAAATGGTGACATGTGGTAAGCGGCCACCAGGCCGGGCAGCATGCTTCTGGAACATTTCCCTCGATGCTCGCATACATCTTGGATAGTCCTGGTCTGAACCGCTCCGGGCAGGCTACCAGTGGTTTTAGCGATCTCATGGCGGAGGTTGGGGAGCTGGATGGCTCTGTGTGTTGTTGGCGTGTTGGTGAATCTTGTTCCCAGCCCTTTCAGCAGCTCTCCTCTCCCAGGATTCCTGGTAACTGGAAAGTTCCGGAACAGCCCTCTGGGATCCACCCACTTCACCTCAGCTTCTCTACCTGTGCCTTTGGGCTGTGCCAAAGACGCTGAGCCCCTCATCTCTGGAACCCCGTGTGTCCTACAGACAGAGACGAGGGCCTTTCACAAGTTTGTCGGAAAATGCCAGGAAAAGAAAATGGAAGTTTTCTGTGCACGTTTTGAAGCCCCCTCAGACCATTTGTTTCTCCAGGTGCATGCTGTGAAAAAACTCCTTGAGGCTCTGCGGGGGGATGGGTGGGGGTGTCCCAGCATAGGTGGGTTCTCTCCCAGTCCCACTCGGCCGAGCCCAGGACAGCCACGCTGCACGCGCATCCTGACACCCCTTTGTCCACCGGCTTCGAATGCCGCGAGAGAGACTGCCTGGGCCAGTCAGCCAGGGCACACCGCACTCCTCTCAGATGTTAACAACCTCTGTTTTCAAAAGTAGAAGACCTCACAGTTGTGCTCTCTTCTTGAGTGGTTCTCATGTGGAGGTTTGGGTAAGCATGCGGTCATAGATTGGGATTTATAATTTAGATGTGCTATGAACTAATTTTTCAAGCCTTCGGAGCAGTATTGATAAACATGTCACCAGCCTTTTCTCCACATTTTTCAGTCAAGTAAATTATGTATTAAATGTGAGCTGAATGTTTAATATTTATTGAAATGCTTTCTTTCTCAGAGGACTCTTACTCCTTGGCGCCTTAGGCGATTCAGATGTGTGAATAGAGGGCAGCGCTGGGGTTTGATGGGCTGAGAGCGAGCCCTGGGGTTTCTGTGCATGGGAGCTAAGTTTTGTCATCTATCTATCTACCTACCTACCTACCTACCTACGTACCTACCTACCTACCTACCTACCTACCTACCTACCTACCTACCTACCTATCTATCTAGATATCTAGATATCTATCATATCATTGAGAATATAATTTATACTGTAAGAAAGTGACTTTTTCTGAAGACTTTGCTGAAACCCCCTCCCCCCCAAACCTTGAACCAGATCAATGACTCGTTGCAATAAGTATTTGCATGTAGAGCTGTTCAGGCAAAATAATATCCTGAATGACACCCAGCGGATTGTAATGCCGCTTTAATAAATGAATGTGCTCTAAGGAACTTAACCATGTCCTTCCCGCCCGGAGCCCTGGCTGCGTCCCCCTCACTGTTGCATGGCTTTATACTGGAGTGGGGTTTTGTTCACTTCTTTCCTTTCTTTCTCCAAGACGGACACACAGAGATAGCATTGTGCATGCGGCCAGAAACTCAGCTGTTCATGAACACCTTGGATCTTTGGTGTAAGAAGAAATCAGTCTAGGGTATCGATGTTTCTCCTTTCCAGCCAGATCTTCTCAGTTTGGCTGCGTCCCGGGGAAGCCAGGCTTCTCATGGGGCTCCTTCCTCGCACTGAGGACATGCTGTCCCCGGTCAGTATGGAAAACCAGACAGGCAGCAATATCAGGGGGTTAGTCCTTGGTTTGGTAAGCTGCCAGCAACCAGATGAAAATGAACCTGGGTGGGGGTGAGGGGGGGCGCAGA